TAAGGAAAGGGACAAGAATCCTAGATCCAAAAGCATAACACCAACAATCTAGGATCTTGAACACTTACCATGGCCTAGGAATGCACAAGAGAATGATGATGAGGCTTTCTTGAAGGATCAACACACTAAAGCTTCTTCTTCTTCTTCTTCTTCTTCTTCTTCTTCTTCTTCTTCTTCTTCTTTTATTCTTCTTATTGCCACTAAATGCACCAAAATGAGCTAAAATCACCCAGAGAGGCTAGAGTTAGGGTTCCTAAGATTTTAGGGTAATGGAGGCTAAGATATGAACCGTAAATTCGGGATTAGGGGTTTAAATATGAAGGAAACCCTAAAAGATCATGTGCTTGGGCCAGAACAGCTGCCACACCATGGGCATACTACCGCCACATCGTGGCAACCATCAGATTGATGTGTCCATGATTTGGTTCGTCACGTCGTGAGCACCTTATGGTCACGTTGTGACACATGATTTTTCCCAAAAATCATGTCTTTGACTCCTTTAAGCCCTACAATGATCCAATCTGGAACACGGGTGTTACAACTTGATGTATCCCTATTTATATAAGGTTTATGAATTAACCAAGTTATCATATTTATATGATATCAAAGACAAACACTATCAACCCTCTCTTTAACCAACCCATTGGTGGAACCCAACACTAGTATCGGAGCTCCTAAATACTACTATATTCCATTTTCAACACTTTATTCATCATTATTTTCTCTCTGGCAAGACCAACCTGTTGTTGTTGTTGTCACTGCCTTATCCCCTAGCTTCATCTCTTTCTTACTCCGGTGAGCCGCCATTGTCTCTGGTTAGCCCTTGTCCTAAATTTGTCTCTGTTTTTACCAAAGTTACATATATCGCCCGAAATCTAGCTTTTTATGTTTTGTCTTTGCCAAAATCCTTCCACCAATGTCTCAAGCTCTAGCCACCAACATCGCTACTGCCACTACCTCCGGATCTAGTTGTCGTTGTTGTCATTGATTCATGTTCTTGATCTCCGCCGACCTTCTTATCTTCATCTAGGTTATCTATTTTTTGTTTAGATATAGTTTTAACGTCCTCGATAAAACTGTAAAGGATGTTAGTATGTTAGCATTTAGGGTATAAGTCTAAGGCTCTTAGGATTTAGGATAAGTTAGGGCTCCTTATGTATCCCTATTTATATGAGGTTTATCAATAAACCAAGTTCTCATATTTATAGTGGTGTTACACATACACATGCATTCATGTGGTTGTGGCCATCAACACAAGTCATAATAATTTGTTAGTGTCGCGTATAGGCATCAAATGGAACAACATAGGGTTGGGCTGATGAACAGGTTAAGTTGCATGGTTTCGGGTTTCAATGGTTAAGTTAACATCGTGTAACCTGTTTCCTTTAAGCTGACCAATATTATTCCTTCTGTAGACTGTCTGCCACCATGAGCGAATCGATGTCGCTACTTGGAAACTCAAGCTAACCCTTTTCGACTAGGCCTGGATTTTATAAAATCATTTTAATTCAATTTATAGATTACTTCTCACTTTAAAGTATCGTATAAATCTCTTTATTTCCAGAACTAATTAGATAAGTAACAGTTTTAGGTTGAATTCTCCAAGAGCTAGCCTCATTGCAATACACAACACATAATAGACAAATTTTAGAGCAAATCCACAACAAATAGAGACTTGTTAACATGTTCCACTTCCGTGACATTTAAAAAAAAGTATATAATTCGACCTTATATATTGATACGGTAGTTGCACCATGAGCAACATACACAAAATGGTAAATACGTTATAACAAAATCATATCCAACATGAGTTTTGATCACCTCTAGTTTATCTTTCTTTATTGTTTTTCTATTATTATGTTTGTACTTCTCCCTTTTTTTGGAAGTTTTTCTATTATTATGTTTGTACTTCTCCTTTTTTTGGAAGTGTATCTGTAAACATTATGAACCAAATATACAAATGGTAATTATATTCATATACCTTCGTTACTAAATAAACAGTTATTTTAATTTTTTAATATTTATTACTAAACATACCCTTAATTACTTATTATACACCCTTAACTTAAGGTTTTTATCAAATCAAAAAATATGCAATAAATAAAAGAGTATATAAATAATAGTACCCTATATAAATGAGTGTTACTAATAAGACACTCCTTAGACACCCTATTATCATTTTTATAAAAAGTCAACCTATAATCAACTACTTATAATTAGCTTTTTCGGAAAACAATACAATTTCAACCAATAAAAATATTTTAAAAATTCATTAGGATGTTTATATGGTAAAATAAGTTTTCTTTTTAGCCCACCCCAAAATGATTTCTCAAATACTCTTTTCATAAAAGTTTCATACAAATTTTATATATTGTACACCAACCGAACATGAAAGTTTGGCCCAAAATACTTGGACCAGAAAAAACTTAGAGGCCTACGGTGATGTTAATATTTGTGGGACAGAACAGAATCATGGAGAAAGAATGACATGTGATAGACAATTAGACAGGGGTGAGAAATGTGCACATGGTAAATCAAAAGGTTGTCTAGTGAATATATGACAAAGTTTAGGGTTGGTGGGATTATAAAGCTACCTTTGTATTTTATGCCCCTCAAAGATTTTGTAGCCGTTCCTGTTGTTGTCTCTAAAATTAAATAAAAATAGTTTTTGATTTTACAAAAAGGATTTATAACGAAAAAACATTATATATATATATATATATATATATATATATATATATATATATATATATATATATATATATATATATATATATAGTTTACTCATCTAATTTTTATTTGTCTTTAAAAATCATCTATATTTGGATAAAAGTTTTATGGCGACCACTATGATTTGTATTTTTTTTGCTAAAAAAACCATTAATTTTCAATTGTGCTAAAAAAGCCACCTATAAATTGATAGTTAAATTGAAATTTTAGAAAAATATAATGTTTTTTTTGTAATTAATCTATAATTAACCCAAATCTAACATGTAAAAATGGTCTTATGGTCATGTTAAAATGTTTAACAAAAGTTGGTGTTTTTTTCTGAACTTATTAAAAATTTGTGGTTAACACTAATTTTTGAAAAAAATAAAGTGTTATCTTCATAATTATCCCTTGGAGAAAACTTAATATCGTAAAGTTATCTATTAACTTTTATTGAAGTTATTTATTAAAAAATTAATATATTTACATTCTTTTTAGTTTATTTGTGTAAATAACTAGATTTAAATATAAAAAATAGATATATGTAAAGATTAAAAACATCACGAATCTTATGTCTTAGGAATCAAAAAGGTTAATTATCATATGCCAAACATCCCAAATTCCCCATGTGAATTGAATTACGAAAAAAAAGCAAGAGACCTTTTTCAAATATCTTTTTGTGATAATACTATATTTAATTTAATAAAAAAATATTTAACTACCAACTAAAATTCAAAGAAGATTCTTATAAAAACATAATAAAAATTAAAAAACTAATATCAATTAATAATCAATATTTGATGATACTATATCTAGGTCGAAGACTTGACTTTGTTACTGTCACTCTCTTTAAGAAATAAACCATAAAAGTTACAAGAATTTGTATGGTTTATCTAATTGTCTCTTCCCATTATTATTGAGTGAAATGTTATTTTTTTATTTTATATATTCAAAATATTTGTTCGTTTCTATTAAAAATTTTGTTTATTACGTAATAAATAATCTTGAGAAGTGATATTTTCATGTATGTTTCTTATTCATCTACTTAAAATAATAAGATGATTTGGTTTTTATAATTTTATTTTAATTAAATTGAAAGAAAAACAATGAAAGGTATATTAATCAAAATAGTTTTTAAGTGGATGAATAAGAAAGATGAAATCCCAATAATCTTTAAATCAAACGTTACAATTTGTGAGTCAGCAAATGCTTTCGGTGAGATCCTTTAAAAGTTCAAAGTATGCCTAACTTCACCACCCATCGAAAATCAAACACATGTCGGGACCCTTTTTAATTTTTAGTCCCGTATCTTTCACAATATTTCATTCAACGCCCCTTTTATTTTAATCCACAAAATCAAGTATGAACTCTATTCTGCCTACCAACCAAATCCCATGCACCTTTCTTCGAGACCAATGCTACTTCCAATGAGAAGTCCCAATTCTTTGTCAAAATCTATAATAATCGATTTAAAAATAAAAACTTTATTACAATTAAAACGAATGTGTAATGATTTTATGAATAGTAAAGTGGTTGAAATCTAATGGATGCATGTTTAAATAAAGCTGTTAATCTTTATTTTTTAATTGAATAAATTGTCTAAATAACTAAACAATAATTTTACTTTTATAATCTAACAATCAATTTTAAAAATATTAAACTTTTTCACTTGAAAGAAGTTGAGAGGGAAAACATACAAATAGATAAATGGTTATTGACTTAAAAAAGTGAACAAAGTTTTTTGAATTAATCCATTAATTATATCTAAATTAAGTAAAAAATAACCATATAATTACTAGATTAAAGTTCTTATCTCATTAAGCCTATTAATTTTTTTTTTTAAATCCTTTCAAGTTTCCAGTTATAACTGGAAGTTGGATACTCATTTTAATGGCATGAGCTTATTTAAAAATGAGCAATTTAAACCATTAACTCGATAAAAGTGGATAAACATAATTAGAGGGACTAAAAGATGAAATTTTACATAGTTATATATACTGATATTTACATCCAAACAAACGATGGAGCGCAATAAACACTTGCACTCCTTGCTTACTCGATTGTACTCAAGAAGTAACTACCAAGGGGAACCAGCTGAGCTTCATTTTCTACTCTACACAAGGAAGCTACAAACTGGCCCTTCAAGAAGTATGTATATCAAAAAAAACACCAAAAGAATAAGAAAATTGCACACAACCCCCAGAAATCAGAAGGTTTTACTTTTAGGAGACTTGCCGGGGACGCATGTCGAACATCCCTCTGGCAAAATCTCGCCGTTAACTACTGCTTTTTCAAGCTTGCGTTGCCAAATCTTTGGCGTTTATGAAGGTTCCATGGAATCCATATGGAACCCTTGATGGAAGCTTAACTGTCGCCTCTAACTCCATTGTCATTGCATTCACGATTTGAAGCTCGGATTTCCATGTTTTTTCGTCGTGAACGAAGGCCAAGATATGGCCGTCGTCTTCGGCTTCGGAATTGGGGTCCCTGGGAAGAAACAGAGGCTCGCCGCCGTACTTTTCGTCTCCGTAGATGAATTTCTGGGTGTCGCCGGTGGAAAGATCGACTTTGGCGAAACCAGAAACCTTCGGCCATGGCTCGGCGATGGCGAGGTAGGCGTATTTGGATTTCCGGCCGAGGAGGTTTTTGTTCACCATCCCTGCTTCCAAATTGACGTCGTTTTCAGGTGAAATTATGGGTCGACGAGTGGATTTTCCAGTTTTAAGATTAAGACGGATTTCTGATAAAACGCTTTTGAGTTCTTCGTTACATTCGTTGAAAATGGAGTCCGCCGGAGTCATGCAGGAGCCGATCACGACGACCTCGTCGGATTCGGGTTCTTCCCATGCGTTCCATAGATGAAAACAGAAACAATCCGGAACTTCGACCCATTTAATATCCGACCCGTTTTCTGCGTATTTATCGAGAACGCCAAAACGTGAAACCTTCTCTTTGTCGTACATCACCGGTGACCCACCAGTGATCATCTCTGACATCTTGAAAACCACCTGGTGATCCGGCACCACCACGAAGTTCTCGGTGATCGCGAAATCATGAACCATAGTAGGCTTTCCCAAATCAATCGCTACATCTTTCGATTTCTTTCCATCTGGTGAAAACCAGAAGTATTTCAGGTAAGGCTTCTGGATGACATCGTAGCTCAGTGCGAAAAGCTCGCCGGAAACTGGGTCGAGTTTTGGGTGTGCGATCATGGTAGAGTTTAACTGACCGTCGAAATTGTATCGTCCGCCGGTTTTCAAGTCACCGGAAGGCGTGACACGGACGTGATAAGGCAAATCATCCTCCGACATGGCCAAAAGGTGGTTGTTGAAGTAAACTAAACCGGCGTTCGCCACTCCAAGGCCTTGAGTGACGTCGATCAAGCCACACAACCCACGAGCGTAAAACAGTAGAAGCTTAGCGATACCGGAGTGGCCATGGAGTTCTCCGATTGCTTTCGGAAATACCGGTTTCCCGATAGCACGTTCTTGAACAAGCCTCTGTGTCTCCGTGAACCGGCAAGCGTAGCTAGCGGAGCCATTATCGAACTTCACGGCGTAAATCATGCCATCTCCGTCAAATAAATGGTGGCCGGAGGTAGGCTCGAACAATGGGTTAGCTCCATTCCTCAAGTAAACTCCTTGAATATGTTCCGGGATCTTTCCGGCGACTGGTAGGCAGTGGCGCACAGGTTGTTCCGGTACTGGACTGAAATTTCCGGCGATTTGAACACTTGGGTCTGCTGTTTTTGGCAAAGACTGTAACTTTTCTCTTGCTTTCAATCCATCTTCAACGGCGTCCAATGCCATTGCTGCAAATTTCTGTAACAAGTTCCAATTTTGTTGGACCACCGGAGAAGAAGATGAAGAAGAAGGCAATTCAACGGGATAAGTTGAGGTTTTACCAACAGACTGCTTAGGAAACTGAAGAATCGAAGGCGTATGAAGTGCACAAAGAGTCGAATTTTGTGCAGTTCGAGCATTGGGTTTCTTACAGAAAGAAATCGAGGAAGAAGATGAACCTAATACATCTTTGGAAGAAGATAAGAATCTGCTTCTTTGATTAGTCCAAGTGGAAGTAGAAGTAGTAGAAGAAGAAGAAGCCATTATTGGTGATTGAAGCTATTTTAATGTCGATGGAAAAGAAGAAATGGAGTTGAGTTTGAGGGAGAAAGAGTGGGGGTGGAAGGGTATAAATAGTGAAGAATGTCCACCGGAAATCATACCACGTGTAGGATGGTTAGAAAAAGGCCCATCGAACTATCGATGATTATTAATTTATTATTATTTATTATATTATTATTATTATTATTATTATTATAAATATTTTGACAACAATTATTTTCTTTGGAGGCAGGTACCTCATCACAACTATTTTTTGGTTTATTCTTCTATATAATGTTAACGTGTCTAATAAAAAACATTTAATGTTTTAATTTAATATGAATGTTTGATATAATTACTTAAAATTATAGTTTTCTTAATTATCCAAGATAGTTTTACGGATAAAGTGGTAATATGTTCATATGCCAAGTTTGTTGATATGAAGCGCAAATACATTGTCTAATTGTCGTATATTTTTATTTAATTACAATTAAATAATTCATGTTATTAAACATGAGTAGAAAAAATATAATATGGAAGTTATAATACAAGCTTTTGAAGAAAAAACGGATATGAGGTTTTATAAATTAGAAATACATTCTAGAATATATATATTTTTTAATTTCTTTGATACGTTGAACTTATTTAGCATATTTACTTTTCAACAAAGAAGAAATTTAGTTTATCACTTTCGTCGAGAAGTAATAGACGTTATAATTATAAATTAATACAATCATGGTAAATATGCCGAAATTGTCACTAATGATAAGATTACAAGTATTACTCATAAGGATAAATGTTATTTTCATGTAATGAATTTTGACAATTACATCAGGATGTTCGTGGTGTAGGACTGGACAAGAACAAAACCGAGTCCAATTTAGGACTGGACAAGAACAAAACCGAATCCGAATTGGACTAAAATCGAATTAATATATATATATATATATATATATATATATATATATATATATATATATATATATATATATATATATATATATATATAGGTTCAGGTTCATTTGAGACCATACGAATTTTGTGAGACCGTGATCTTTTTTTAATTATTATTTTCGTCACTTTAGTTATCTAAAAAAAATAAAAAAAATTTACCCTTTTTTTTTTTGAAAAATACGTGAAATATTCGAATAGAATATTACACTGTAAATATTCTAATGTGATTTTTAGAATGTTAGAATATTCCATAGATTTGTCAGATATGTAAAATATTCTAGTATTCTACTTGATTATGTAAAAAAAAGGCATTATTTATTTATTTATTTTTATTTTTTTGGTATTTTTTAATTTTTTTTTGGAAATTATAAATGACGAAAATAATATTTGAAATTTCTTTTTTCGAAAATTTTTAATTATTTTGCATTTTAAAAATGTTTATTTTTATCTACAAAATGAGCTACTAAGATTGCGTCTCACGGTCTCACAAAATTAGATCGTCACACATGAACCTAACCTTATATATATATATATATATATATATATATATATATATATATATATATATATATATATATATATATATAACACCTTTACAAACCAAAGACCGTGTTAACGAATGAAGAACGTAAAACTAGTAGAAATCGTCAACATCCGGATTAGAACCCCTAACCTCCAATTTAAGAAACAAAACATCTACAAATTGAGCTAGTAGTCAATTTGATTCAGTTTTTTAGGACCACAGGTAGGGTGTGGTTCAGGGATCGGATCAAATTCGTAGTGGACCGACACTAAATTAACATATTTTACAAACCGGGTAGGGTGTGGTTCGGTTTTCGGTTTGGTTCGGTTTTTCTGGTCTACATGTTCATCCTTGTTTACATCCTACACAAGTGCAAGGTTTTTTTTTTATTTATTTATTTATTTATTTATTTATTTTTTTAATGTTTAGGATCCTTAAATTCAAGTTTTTTTTTTCGGTTACTAGCTACTGTATTATTTATGCTTAGTTGCATAAGTTATTTACATACCAAATAAGAGATATTGTATCTAAATCTCCTAATATGGAAATCCTTAAAATTATAGTTGATTAACCAATTTGTATTAGTTGAACTTGAATACTTTGGCCGGTGTTAATCAAGAACGTAAAATTAAAATTATATTTGATGTTATATTATTTATCTAACATCAAACTTAATGTAAAATATAATGTTGGGTTGGAGCAACTTAACATCAAATTTGAGTAAATTTTAAGTATTAGTTAGTTTTTTTTTTTTTTTTTTTTTTGAAAAGGCGGAATTTTTAAGTATTAGTATGAAGTTGGGGATGTTGTAAGGTCTCAAACTTTACCTCTTTCGAATTCAAAAAGACACTTTAGGAATCTAAATAAGTATCAAATCCATATCTTCTTAAGTAACCTTTCAAGAACAAAAAACCAAAAACCCTAAAATTAGACATCTATAAATGGAAATACATAAAGTAATTGCAATTACTTATATTTGAATACAAACTAAGAAATCGGTTTCAAAATATCTAAATACGGAGCTCATCGGAGATATTGAAGGAAAGCGGTTTCAAAATCTCTAAATACGGAGTTTGTCGGAGATATTAAAAAGAGTTTTATTGGATATGTTGCAAAGAGGAGATATAATTCAAAGATGAAGATGAAATAAAAGTTTCAAATGGGGTTTGGTCTCTTTAATACAAATCACAATCAAAATCATCATCTTGATCATCAAATGTTTTAAGGTTTTATTAGCTTTGTCAAATTCAAACTATCAGGACAAACCATCATTCATGTCCTTGTTCAAAAATGGAGATGGATACATGAAAAGAATAAGATATTTGGGGTTTCTGACATTCCACCTTTCACACCTATTCGTTGAATGAAGAACTTCATCATTTGCCAAACCGGGAAATAAGCCACCATCAATTCATATCTCAGTGTTATTGCTTGCATCAAAAGCATGCTAGGAAATTCGAAGAACCCTCCATCTCCATCTATAGTTATAGGTTCATCTTCACCTTGGAAACTAGTAACTTGTTTGTCTTTGTATGTTCCACGCTTATCTATATGTTCATCTCCAGGGTTTCCTATTCCTCAGTTTAGATATTTTTTAAATGTTGGTGAGCAGACTCCCTTCCCCTTATCTCATCGGCGGTGATTTCTTGTTGATGAATACGGTTTTCAATGAGTTCTTGAATTCTTGATTAAAATATTATTACAATAAATATTAATAATAAAATAACTAACTATATATTAAAATGTACATAATAAAATAGAAATAATAAATAAATCAATTTGGGTATCATATCGGCTACACATTGATGCATGGACAACACGTTAGCGCCACATAAACACAACATATGTCACCTATAGTATAAACAGGCTAATACATCAAAAGTCGTTAATATTGATTTATTTTAAACAAAAATGTTGAATGCGATGATCTTAAATGGTTTAAAACAACCCTTTAACGATCTATGGTAGACAAATATTACTATTGAGTTACGAAAATAAAATTAAACCAACCTTAAAAACATGATTTTTGTTTGAGTGACAAGTACATTAAAATGAAAATTGATGCATTTTTAAGCACATTTGAGAAATTAAAACACATTTTTATGGAGATTCAAATAACACAACAAAATACTATTTGTCACGTGATAATAATGTGATTTATTCTATGCTTGTAAGTAATAAATAACATCTCATAGTGACTTTCAACATCAGAATAAGTTATGTACGTATAAAAATGATCAATTACATATACATGTTTGAAAAAGACAGAATAAAATTACATCTAAATTTTCTATAAAATATAGTAAAAGGTAGAGTTTGTAGGTTGTAGTGGTAGTTAGAGGGATTGTGACATAATCCAATAATATTGCATTTTGTGGTTGGAAAAATTAGTTTTGTTTGTGATACACGTCTAAAGCCTAAATTCCGCGTTTAAACCGCTAATCACTCTATTCTTTTTAAAAAAATCCGGTCCGTGTCGGTTCATTTTCTTCCACTTTAACCCGAGACACGTCTCTCTCTCTCTCTCTCTCTCTCTCTCTCTCTCTCTCTCTCTCTCTCTCATCAAGGATATTTAAGAATATTGGACCAATAATATGCAACAAAAAGATCCTTCTGACTTTTTCTTTATTTTTCTAAAATTATTTCGAATTCTAAAATATTAATGAAAAATGATATAACAATCTATATTCCACACTTGAATCTTTTTAATATTTTCTTGAACTTTCGGTAACATTTTTCTTTTTTCAAATTTATTGTCAAAGAAGCTAATAGCATTTTCCTTATGGGTTTGCAGTAATCCACGTCAGGACTAAAATATAATCACAAACGTGTTGTCAAACAATTTATTCTTTTGTTTTTATTAAGAAGAAAGATATAACTTATAAGCGTTTATGATTGTTTACCATTTGTTCATTTTTTGACAAGTAGTATACTTTTAAACCGTGTCATTCTCATGTTACATAACAATCAATTCTAGTGAGACCTACCTTATATTCTCAATAGTGTATAAAACACACACAATATCCACTATTATCCAATAATACAATTAATTTTAATTATTATCTAGTAGTTGTGGATCTAATTTTCTGCATCAACTAATATTAATAATATAAAATTAAAACAAATTTGTATACGATCGAGTGAGGGCAATGTTATTAATTCAATAAAAAGCTATAAAATTAGTTCATTTATACTCCTCGTTTTTAATAGTTTAACCTAAACTTTGAAACTTGTTCAATTCTGGAGTAAATTCATCCGTCCGACGGCTCCAAACTCATGTTATATAAGTATCATATCAATTTTTTTCTTTCTCCTCTTAACTCTCTTTATTTGCAAATTGTATCCGTCTAACCCACACATTTTGGTACAAGTCATGATGCATATATTACTATATTATATATGTCTGATACAAGGTCTCGTCTTGTTGTAATGTTAGTGTATTCTTATTGTTTGATAGATGATATTATATTATTGTAATCTGATTACACTTTTGATCCTCATAACCTAACTTTAACAAGATAAAAGG